TACGAACACAGTTCTCATGTACAGTCTGAGAGAGTCTGTACCTATTTTCATGTGCTTACATAGTACACACCACAGCACACACCAATCCTTGTGTGAACAGATAATATGGACTATGCTAAAATGCATGGATGACACGTCTTTTCAAAAAATTTATTTATTTTTTCATCGAAGGATAATTGCTTTACAGAATTTTGCTGATTTCTGCCAAACAGCAACATGAATCAGGCCTAAGTATGCGTATGTCCCCTCCCTCCCATCTCCCTCTCCACCCCCACCCCTCTAGGTTGTTACAGAGCCCATGTTTGATTTCCCTGAGTCCTACAGCAAATTCTCATTGGCTGTCTATTTTACATATGGCAATGTAAATTTCCATGTTAGTCTCTCCACACATTTCACTCTCTCCCTCCCCCTCCCCTGCCTGCTCCGTGTCCATAAGTCTGTTTTCTACGTCTGTTTATCCATTGCTGCCCTGTAAATAGATTCATCAGTTCCATCTTTCTAGATTCCACATATATGTATTAGCATATGATATTTTTCTTTCTCTTTCTGACTTACTTCATTCTGTATAATAGGTTCTAGGTATGGATGACATCTTAACTGACAGAATAATGAAACCTGACATGTGGGAAAGTGCTTTATAACAGACATTGACACTACTCTAGTTTAAACTATGTCAGATTTTTCTCTTTCACACAGAGGACCAACTTATGAAATTTGGGGATGTCCTAAGACAACTATTGAGCATCTTAGCTGTTATTCCAAATAGTGCTTCCGAAGGTAAAACTGGAGGTTTAAATCTTGTCCTCAAGGATGGGGATCATACGATACAGGAAAGAACAAATCAGACAACCAGAGTGATTAGTAATTTGAAGTGGACATTGGTGTATTTGTCTGCTCAGTGCCCCCTTTCCCTCTGGGAGCTGCCTCTGCCTTGCCATCCATAGCTGCCACGTTAGTACAAGGTGACCTGCTCCAGGCCATTTGATTATTCCAGGGAAGAGCACTTGACCCAGCTGGATCAGCCCCCAAGTCCTAGTCTAGGACTTTCATAACAGGAACTGGTAAGGTGAGTGGGCCTTTCTTTAGTGACCAAAGCCGTGAACAGTGAGGCTGTCAGTGGCTGTGTGAAGAAGGAATAACGTGTGCAATGCCCTAAAATCTTTGACCAAATCCTTCTTTGTGCTAAGCATACTCAGGGTTGGTTTTCAGTTATTTCCTATCAAAAGAGCCCCAACCAATGCGGAATAATTGCCAACTTCTGTCATGTAATTGCTAATATAGCACAAAAACCATCTATTGAGACTCAAACCTGTGACAGACAATATCTCAATCCCCAGAATATTATAGCTGTGGTCCAGATCTGTCAAAGGTGGTTAATTTGGTATATTAATTCTTCAGAAACTTTACAGATACACATTTATCATACTTAAATATTATTCTAATTACTTAAGATACATTTATGATAAATACTTGTTTCCATGGCAAACTTCTATTGATTTGGCTTTCAAATACTAAGAAATTTCAAATTACTAAACTTTTTTTCCACTCTGAGGAAAGAAATGAAATGATAAAAATGTGGTAACTAAGGGAATTATCCTTTAAAAAATGCCTTTTGAGATACCCTATCGAGTCAACATCACCTTCAATATTGTGAATATTTCAGTGCCTGAATCATCAAAGTAATATTAAGCACAGGGTGACCTTGTTTTGAAGTGTATTGTAGTTTACTATAATTCTGTGGATATAATTGGTTTATAATTCAGTTATGAGCATCATGGTAATAATAGCTGATACTTCTGAACTCCTACCATGTATCAGGGGTTTCCCTGGTGACTCAGTGGTAAAGAATCCACCTGCTAATGTAGGAGATGCAGGTTCAATCTCTGGGTTGGGAAGATCCCCTGGAGAAGGAAATGGCAACCCCTCCAGTATTCTTGCCTGGGAAATCCCACGGACAGAGGAACTTGGTGGGCTAAAGTCTATGTGGCTGCAAAAGAGTCAGATACGACTTAGCAACTAAACAACACTAACAACAATGTTATATCAGCCAGGCTGTTCTAGGGCCCTTTTATCAACTCTAATCCTCACAGCAATTCTATTGGGTAGACATCGTTGGTCTCCCCATTTGCAGATGAGAGGTTAAGTAATTGGCCTGAGGTCACACAACCAGTAAGAGGTGCAACTGTGAACAGAACAGCCTGACACTAGAGTCCACACCTGTTAGGTAACTAAGTAGTTAATCGCAGTAGCTCTCAGGTAATTAGCCTATTCAATTATAGGAGGTCTTACTTCGCAAGTCCTTTGGAGGGGATTTTAAGGTAGTACTTGTTTATAAATTCTCTGGATTTGTAGACTGTGTATTGAGTATCAGTGAGGCAGAGATCTATGCAGGAAATTTTTCTTTGGTTGTAGTGGCTTGGGTCCCTGTGACATGCAAGAAACAGCATGGTGGATCTTCTCAAGCTAAAGATAGCTCCACCAGGCTCTCCTCATTTCCTTACGATGAGAGCAAGTCTTTCAGAAGATTCCCATCTCTCTTAGGTAAGAATCAGAACCCTTCCCAGGCCACAGGGTCCTGTCCATCTCATCAGTCTCCTCTGGGGCACTGTGCTTCAGTCACTCTGGCTTTAAATTTCTCCCATCTCAAGACCTTTGGGACTTCCTCAGTGGCTCAGAGGGTAAAGAGTCTGCCTGCAATACGAGAGACCAGGGTTTGATCCTTGGGTCGGGAAGTTCCCCTGGAGAAGGACATGGCAACCCTCTCCAGTATTCTAGGCTGAAGAATCACATGGACAAAGGAGTCTGGCGGGCTACAGTCCACGGGGTCTCAAAGAGTCAGACACGACTGAGCAAATTCACAAAACCTTTAGATAAGCGAGATCCTCTGACTTGAAGACACATTCCCTTTATCTGTACCACTTAGGCAAATCCTACTCATCATACAGGGTTTCCCTAACCCATAGACCAGGTTTGATTCCCTTCTTATAATCTCTGCAGCATCCTGTACTTCCTTCTTAAAATAACAGTGAAAAGTGATTAGAAAATTGTGTGATTACTGAATGTTTCTGAGTGTAAGCTCCGTGTGGACAGGGACTGTTTATTGCTGATTCCCGACAGCTTAGCACATAGTTGGCACCAAATAAATACGTGTAAACTGAGTAGAAGAAAGAATTACCAGCTACCAAATGAAGAGGAAATAAATAGTCTCCTTGACATTGACTAGACCTGCTGAATGTGGAAGAAGGCCTGCCCAGGCGGACACGGAGAATGCTGGAGCAGCTTGGCAGAGAGGTTAGCAAACCTGAGGATACATGAACCTACCTATACTTTATTTTTTATACAGTTTTCTAAGTGATTAGGAAAGAGTGGGTGTAAAGTTATGGTTTTGTGAGCAACAAAATCGAATCCACTTTTAACAGTGCTAAAATCTTGATCAAAGAAATTTCAACTCAGAACACTAAGGGCCAAAGTGAAAGAACGTAGTGCTTTTGATAATTCTGTCATTCTACCAAGTGTGCTTCTGTGGTTATCAGTGCTCGTTTGCACTTGCCTCTCTTTTGATTTTTATAATCTTTATTTTTTTGCAAATATTTTATCATCTCTTCACTGATTCCTCGAAACAGTCTGATGTGGAGAGTTGGTGCCATGGCCCGGGTGATGAAGAAACGTTTCCTCTTTCAAAGACTCCAGTTTTTGGACGATAAGAAATGCTAAAGAGGAAGCAATCAAACCTATCTGCCTCCACCCTGCGCGCTGCTTCCCGGTCGTGATACGCTTTCAGATTCTCCTGTGAATTGTCTTCGATAAATAAGGATGGACTGCCATCCATTTTTTTGAGATCACGTCTCTGTTCACCTGGTGGACAGTACAACACAAGGGAATGGATCGTGGAAACGCATTCCCCCATAACCACAGTCTGCACCAATGTGACATCAACACTAATCCTACGTTCGGAAATTTTGCTCCCTTAGTCTTTCAACAAGTTTGCAGTTGCCTTCACTGCCCTGAGGTCCAGGTCTTCTCTCCAGGTTCCCTCCGAGTGGTGCGGGCCGTCAGCGGTGAGGCGTCCGTCGGGCACCCACCGTCCCAGGAGGCGAGCCTGGTGGGCCGTTCCGGGAAACTGTTCCCGGGAGCGACGCCGAGGCGGGGCTCCCCGAGGACGTGGTGAAACCAAAACAGAAATCGGTGATTCAAAACATCATCTCAGGAAATTGTGCTTTCCAGAGACAGGTGCTCCCTTCTCGAGGCTACGGTCCTCCAACTTCCACCGAACCTTCCCCGCGGCCGGCAGCCCACCCCTCCGAGGGCCGCCCCGCGAGCTCGCCCGGGGAACCCCGGGCAGCCTCTCCCGCCCGCCCCGCGGAGCCGTGGGATACGCCTTCGCCACGTGCCCGCCTCCCGCGCCTAGACCTCCCGCAATTGGCTGGTGGCCCTGCCCGTCGCGGGGGGGAAGGCGTGCCCCCCGCAAGGCGGCGCTCCCATTGGTCATGACGGCAGCGGCCGCGCGCGCGGACCCGGCGAGGAGGGGAAGCCGGTGGTGGTGGCGGCTGCGGCGGCGGAACGGGCGGAGGCAGCCGGTTTCGTAACCGTCGCTCCTGGCTGACTCGCGGGCTACGAGGCCTGGGTCGGGTCGGGCCGCGCCGTGCGGGGCCGCTTGGAGTGGAGGCCGCCTGGGAGCAGGCGGGCTGTAGGCGCCAGGTAAGGAGGCCGCGGGCGGGCTGAAGGAGGAGGAGGAGGCCGCGGAGCCGCCGGCCGCTCGCGTGGGCGCGGCCCCAGCGCGAGGAGACCCGGCCCGGCCCTGGGCGGCCGGCTTGCTGGGAAGGCCCCGCGCGGCCCGCGGCGCGGGCGGCGGCCCCGCGCGGCGTCTGATGCAACCTGCCGGCAACACTCGGCGGGGCCGCTGAGCTCATCCCTGGCCCCGGCCCAGTGCCGCGGCGCCACCCGCCGACCCCCGCGCTCCCCCGGCGCCCCCGCTGCCGGCCCCGGACGGGATGCGAGCCCGGCTGTGCCCCCCTCCAGAACCCGGCCCTCTGTTTCTGCAACGCGCAGTGTGACTAGCCAGTAGCAGGCTCGTATTGGCCCCTGGGGATAAAGGGTGTTCCCAGAATAGCAGAAGGTGGATCGCGTCCTGTTGAGTGCCACCTGGGATTATTTCCCAGGTGCTAACTGCTCGGTGTCGGGCAATCGGGAATCCTGTTCAGAAGTTAGTAGAAAAGTAGGCAGGGAAAGCAATTGAGTTTAAAATATATGACTTTACACAAATAATATTGTGACTCCTTATGGAGTACTTTGAGTATATATCCTGCGTTGACTGTTGTGCACAGGTTGGATGAACGTGCAGCCACCACGAGTTGAATAGGAAAGAGGAGGGCAAAAAATGAAGCGCTTCATTAGCGTGTTTGGAGGGAACACAGTAAGGAAAACTGCCAGCGGAGGTGTCTAGGTGGAGAGGATGGAAATGCATGTTTGAGGGGAAGGATAATCTGTTCTTCGAAGTAAGCTTCTGGGTTTTTATTCTTCAAAAGGTTTAATTGCTTGGCTTTCCTCTGATCTGAGGTTTGTGCTGTCATCTGGCATCTTACATAAAATGTGTCCATTTCAGAAGGGTGTTTAACATTGGTGGGTTACCCAAAAGTTGGTAGTTCTCTCTCCCAGGATACACTGTCAATTGAATTCTTGTTTGAAGAGATTACCCTTTAATTCAGGTAAGATATGGGATGCTCAGAGACACATTTGAAATAAAATACTATGGAGGCTTGGCTTTACTAAGAAATTTAGCCTTTAAAAGCCCTTGATAACTAAAAGTTAAAATTTGGTCAGCTGTTACTACTTGAGTAGTATTTGAGAAAAGCTGTTCTTAAAGTTGGTTCACTGTTTTGGAAAAACTCAGTGTTAATAAGGCTAAATAATTACAGGATGCTAGTGAGCTGAAGAACTTTTCAGTTTCTTGAGTCCTACTCCTGGTGGGTACACTTGGCAGATTCAGCCATTTTAATACCTGCCTGAAAAACATAGGTGGAACTGAAACTTCGTTTTGTTTTTTTTTGTTTTGTTTTTTTTTTTTACCCCCAGAATATCCTCTTAAGTTCTCAAGATCATGTCATAACTCTCAGCAGAGTTGTCTGATCTTGGACAGGTAGTTTCATCCCTAGGGATTTAAACAGCACCTGGTGAGTCCTGGGTAAAGATGAATAGGGCAGAATTCATGTGGCTGAATTTGGTGTTATGGCCTTAGATTGCCCCACCTGATCATAGAAATGGTAAACACAGGTAGTCACAATTCCATGTTTATTGTGTGTTCTTAGGCCGGGGGTAGCGGATGCTTCTGTGGGTTCTTAGGCTGATAGGTACATTGATCCTTTTTGGTTTTCCAGACCAATCAGTAAAAAGAAAAAAGAGCATGACTCTAAAAGATGTATATTTATAAACAGTGTGGTGTGTTATTAATCATTCATGTGTGTTGTAAATGACACCAAAACTAGAGTAAAAAGATGACATTAAAAAAAGAAGAGATATTTTCTTCTCATACTCCAGTGGACCACTTATCTACTCCCCGAAGTAGTATACTCATTTGTGGACCCCTGTTTTGGGTCATGAAGCCAGCGTGGCAAATACGTAGAAATCCTGCTTATTTGGGTGTGTGTTAAGTTTGACAGCTTACCTTCACTTCATTTGTAGTACTGAGTTGCCAGACCCTGGCAACGTATGCCTAAGAACTTGAGGTTGTGGAAAAACGTAACTGGACAAAGTGGAAAATAAAGGTTCTCAACGGAATGAAGCGAAGACTAGACATGAATGACCTTCACTGTATAGGCTGGGGACTAGAGTAGCAAATGTTTTTATTTTACTGTATACCTTTAAGATAGACCAGGATCTTTGGATCGTAAGACTGTGTATACCTTAGTAACACTCAATTTAATTATGGTTGTTTTAAGAGATTTTAATGCTAGAGAATCTTATTTTTATATAAGACACTTACATGTTTTCTCTTAGCCTTTTGAGACTGTATTTAACAAATGTTTCTTGAGCACCACCACTGGATGCTGGGCGAATGATGATAAAGGCGGAGGCCTGCCTCTAGCTTATTCTACAGGGAGCCACAAACTGTGGAGCTGGCATTGACAGAGAAACTAGGGGAACAAATTGGACAGAAGCACAAAGAACAAAGGGCAGACCATTTAGGGGTGTGATGTTGGCTTCCAGTATTGTTGGGGGGTGATGAGAAAGGGAGCTGGGCCTGAAGAGATTTGATCTGTATGTTGAAGCCACAGAAGAATCTTCAGTGAGAGGCTGCGACACACTCAGGTTTGAGTGTTAGATTGCTCTGCGGACGGTGGTTGGAGGGAACGCTGCTGGAGCAGGGCAGGCTGTGCCCTTGAGAGATGTCAGCCCAAGGTAACTGTGGCATGGAATGGAGCGGGATGGTGGAGTGAGGTGTTTTGGGGGAGACGGCTGGGTAGAATACCAGTAATACCAATGGTTTGAACAGATTTGGAACAAGGGACAAATACCTGAATATTTTGGAGTGTAGATCTTCATTGGGGAAATTGGAGTTAAACATTTATTTGGGAAGAAGGAGAGGAGGGATATCTCATAGTATATATAGGAAAAAAAAAATGACAAGAGGGCCAGGAAAAGGCTTGAGACATTTATTGTCCCAAGTGAAACTTGAGAAAATTTTGATTTTGCTTTACTCATTCTAACATTTTGACTTTTCCTGATAATGAGTGTGTCCCGGATTTGAATGAACGTCACTTGATTTAAGAAATTTGAATTTAAAAAATGGTACCCAGTCAGCCCATCTTTCTGAAGATCTGCAGTTGGTTTGTGGCAGCGGCTGTCAAACTTCAGTCACTTGGGGGTCCTGTCGAGATGTAGATTGCTTAGCCCTGTTCCGAGAGCTGCTGATGCCTCCGTCTGGGGCAGCCTGAGAACTTGCATGTCAACCAATGGGATGCTGATGCCACTGGCTCAGGGACTATGCTTCTGAGAACTGCTGCTTTTCAGTTTTTCTCCTACTTCCTGCTGGAATGATTCACAGCAAGGAAACAAGGTGCCGCCCTGCTTCCTGTAGTCTGAACTTTGGAATAGCATTTGTCCACGTAGGAGCCAGACTTTCATTTAGGGTTGAACATCCAGATTTGAAATAAGCTTATTTTCCATTGTAGGTGCTTAGTAAATGTTTGTGAAAGAAACAAAAGCACAGACAACAGTGTAAACTGCAGAACTGTAAACTGTATGTAGCATTTAGAGGTAGCTGTTTTACTCAGTGTAAAAAATAAAATTGACAACCTGTTTGGAGTAAGTCTTAGCCCCACTTAGCTCTTTGACCCCCTTTCATGGCGGATGACTTCACCTTGAACATTACTTCTTGGCTTGTCTTTGGTTGGGGAACTTAATAGAAACAACTCCTTTTTTTTTTTTTAATCTCCCAGTTTTACTTTCTTACATTTTTTACCAGTTTGATGATTACTGTTTGTTTTACAAGCCAAGGACTCATTTTCAAAACCTTGCCTGCTGTGTTCAGCCTAGTACCTTGGCGAGATGAGTCAGACTGAGGTGAAAGCGCCCTTCCTTATTCCGGTGTCTTTGAGAACAAAAACGGGCATGAACCTCAACTAAGTTTGGAGCCGGTAATAAGTGTTTTTGGTGACTGATGTTCATGGTATATTGTGAGCGTCAGAGGGCATTTTACATCCCTCCTTTGCAGAGAGGGAGATAGAGGCCCAGAGAGGGGACGGACATGTCCAGAGTGGAACGGGGGATGTCCAAGCCAGGATGAGGATCGACTTGGTTCCTGATCTCTACTTCTTTGGATTATTGTTACCTCTGAGTTTATTAGGGATTAGCTTTAAAGACTAAAAACCCAACTGGTATATAGAAGATAAAAAATAGATGAACATAATCATTGATTGTTGAGACAATCCCAGGACAGGTGTTAAACAAGTTCTTAAAAGTTGAATAAACACTTCACTTTAGACCAGTAGATAAGCAATAGTATAGATGGCTAGTAACACTATTAATGCTAAGTGTGGTGCAAATTATACTCAACTGCCACTTTTCAACTGGAAGAGAAAATAGGCAGCATGATAAATTATCAAGGGAAATTGTGAAATATTCATTACTGAAGATAAACTTGGAGTAGATATCCATCATGTTTTGGAAGGAAGCTTTTGGTGTTTCCTTAGTACCGAAGTGAGAACAGATGACCCTCTAACTCAGGACTGCCTGTGTGGCCTGAAAAACACTGGAAAGCAATGATATATGGCCTTTTGAAAAACAGGCCAATACAGAAATGACTCGCTAAAGGTTTGGGTGAGGCTTTTCTTAAGAATTGTGAGCAGTACTCATTCGAAGCTGTTCATAATTGTGGCTTCAGGTTTTTTCCACTGATGCAGTTTTGTGAAAAAAATGGGGTAGTTCTATGGTTCCTAGCACTGCTTTCTCAGTTTCCAGCAGTGCTGTGACTTCTTGGTGGGCATAATTCACTCAGCTTAGACAATTTGTCTTGAAGTGGCCTCGTGATGATAGGCTAGATCTGCTTTTGACACATCTTGAGGCAGTTTTAGGACCAGCTTGGATTCAGAGTAATCCGAATATGACTGGTTTCTGAAACTGTGACTTTGTTTCTCCCGGCAGCACTGCAGATTTGGCATGCCGTCTGTTGTTTGAGCAGCGTCAGGCGGGTGCAGGCCGCCGCTGCCCTGGCTCTTGGTTCAGCCTGACTTCCAGCTCGCACCTCCTTGGATGCATCATCAGGGCCTTTGTTTCTCTCCTTGTGGTATCAGGGTGACAGTGTTTAGATGTGTTTAGTAGTTATGTCAAGAATTAGGAAAACACTAGAAGCTTGCTGTGAGATGGGGAAGCAAACTGGGTGTCTCAGAGCTCCGCAATGAGCCAAGAAACTAACTTAGGAAATCTCTGTAAACTACCGTCATTTGAGGTCATTAGGAAAATAAAAACAAGCCAAAAAACACATTTTCAAAATATCCCATACAGATACGCTTTGGGAGAACAGTTAAGTCCTTGATGGCTCAGTCTGCACATTAGAGTAAGGACCACGCAGAGATGCTAGTGCAGTGCTCCTGAGGAGACTGGACTGGGTGCTCTGCGCTGGCCTTCTAATTTGATTTGAACCAGCAGTTGAACATTGTCCCTCTTTTATTGCACTGTCTCTCCTGTTGTAATTGAGCTCATATTTTCTGTGTTTAAACCAAACACCTCACATTTCTCTCTTGTAGATTGCCAAGTGCTGTCATTCATATGTGCTACCTAATTAGTGATACTGTTTTGTTTTTTCCTCACATTTTTGATAACACTCACAGATGGGCAGTCCCCTCAGGGATTCAGGTGGGTTAGATTTGGCTGTATGGTGCGTATGTATTAACTTATTCTCTGAACTACATGACTTAGACTGCTGAAACATGGGAACAGTTGGCAGTTGTTATAGACGCTTCTCAGCATGGTCAGTTAACATTGGCCTGCTGTGAAGTACATGCGAATTAGATCTCATTTGATCTTGTCATCTCCAATATTGTAATGCAGTTTTTCTTGAATAGGTACATGTGAAGACTTCTTGGCAGCTCAGTGTGGAAACCATTGATCACCTGTCTTCCTTCTGCTTGCTCTGTGTTGACAAGGGAGCGTGCCCAAATGAGCAAGGTATCGCAGCAGAACGGCGCCGCGGGCGTGAACGGAATAAGCGTCATCCACACTCAGGCTCACGCCAGCGGCTTACAGCAGGTTCCCCAACTGGCGCCCGCCGGCCCCGGGGGCGGAGGCAAAGCCGTGCCTCCCAGCAAGCAGAGCAAAAAGAGCTCGCCCATGGATCGCAGCAGTGACGAGTACCGTCAGCGCCGGGAGAGGAACAACATGGCTGTGAAAAAGAGCCGGTTGAAAAGCAAGCAGAAAGCGCAGGATACACTGCAGAGAGTCAATCAGCTCAAGGAAGAGAATGAACGGTTGGAAGCAAAAATTAAATTGCTGACTAAGGAACTAAGTGTACTGAAAGATTTGTTCCTTGAGCACGCACACAACCTCGCAGATAATGTGCAGCCCAGTAGCACTGAAAATTCGACGAGTCCTGCTAAGACCGGGCAGTAAAGTCCACCCCTTCCAGACGTCACACCTCGTGGCTTGAACATGCGAGGTGTGCCTGCCTACGCCTCTCGCATCGGAGTGGACCGCCCTTACCCAGAGACCCACTGAAGGTTGCTTTCTGGGGTCAGCCCCGAAGAGCTGATTAGTTAAAAACGTTAGCCGTGTGACTTGCATATCTGGTTTTAAATGATAAGCGTTTTTGTGGGGATAAAAAACACTTTTAAAGGTATATGGTTAAAAAAAAAAAAACCTGCCCTGGAACCTTGATGTTCTTAATAAATGCTGACTTCCCCCAAAAATGTTTCTTTTTTAGGCTGACAGAAGGAATGGGGAACTGGCAAGTCGTGCGGAAGAGTCTTGGTTTTAATGGATATGGTTAATTGGATGAAAGAAAGCTGAATGCCATCTCTGTTCATCTATTTGTGACTCGTTTCTAAATTATGTATTAAAAATGCTTAGGGCTATAGAAACCAATCACTTTATAATTTGGAGTGATTTTATGTATAGCATAAACCCTGTTTCAGCATAATTAGTACTGTTTTACCCAACAAGTACTAGTTTTTTGAGTAGTGATGACAAGTTACGTAAAGAAATCCCATTGCATTTTAAAGGCAATATCCGGCCAATTGGCTTAAAAATAGAAATAGCATTTAGGAAGCAGATAGGTTTTTTAAAAGTAAAAGCAAAGCATATTAGAATTACACTCTTGGGATACCTTTGGGTTATTGGATTGGCATTATTTTGTTAAAATTGAAAAAACAATGGTTTAGAGAAACTTTTTATCAGTTCTAGTTTCTGCAGATGCTAATAAGCATTTTTTTCTTTCACACCATTTGCACAGCCTGGTTAGTAAATCAAAGCATCTTAACAGTTTATGTCCACCCAAATTGCTGATTAGGATTTTCAATATTAATTTCAGCAGGTAATTTCTCCTGTGTTCAGATACACTGCAGTGGGGCCGAAGATTTTGAAAGCAAAAATTTCTTGGGAAGGCTCACTTGCATTTGACCTTAACCAACTGGTTATTAGAAAAATACACTGTCAACTCCATGCCATTTCCCAAAATAATAGCCTAAGAAAACTTGAAAGTATAAGGTTTAACAGTTAATTTATTTCACTTAAACACATTTATATTCTTTTTATGACATTTCTTAGTAGGCTATATTCTTCCAGACTTTTGTACCACTTTTTATTCATTTGTATGCATTTATGTCCCATAAATTATTTTAGCAAGAAAATACTGATAAAACTCAGGATATTGATATTTTTGTTGAGACTAAAAAGTGGTAGTCACTAGAATGGGAATCTCTAGGATCTGGATTATATCAGTGTTGGTAGTTTTGATTGCCCTTGTTTCTTTCTTTAATGCAGTTCTAGCTCAAATTTGTTGGAAGTCTATTTTTTTCTTCTTTCAGTTTTTGTTTTTGGATGACCCAGGCTGGTGACAAGAGACTGAGTCACATCTGATTTTAAAAGTTACCAGCTATCTTATTTGAACATGGTCATTTTAGGCCACACTGTTGTTTCATACCAGAACCTGGGACATTGTAACCAGGAGGTAATTCAAGTTGCACCCTCAGGCTGATGGAGGAGTGGTGTCTGTGCCCTTCTGGTCAGCAGAAGACTATCACAGTGCCCTGCAGCTCAGCAAAGCCATCAACAAAGGCCAGGAGTCCCTTCTGCATGTGACATGAGCCCAGTATTGTCCCATGAGAGCCACTGTCCCAGGATGGTTAACTCCCGAGAGAGCCAGGAGACAGGATAGGGGTTGCTGTTAGGGTCCAACATTGGTCACCTTGGTTGGAGTACTGATCAAGGTTGATAGAGGTTTTAAATAACTAGGAGATGCCCCAGAATCCTGCTGGATGTTCAGTAGCACCTCACTCGGGATGCTGAATCTTGAAGCATCCGTAAGAGGTGCTATTTACTAAACAGTATCTTTCAGAATTGGATGTCCACATGGAATTTATTGTTACCCATTATATGAAGTGACCTAACTATCGGAAGAGAAGCTTTAGGGAAATCATCAGGAATGTACTCAGTTATTTCAAATAAGAAAATAAGATTGGAACTTTTGGAACAATTGATTCAAACTTTTCTTTTACCTATGCAAATAAGAACTAGTACAAGCAGTCGTGCAGTTTTACGCATAACGTAAAAAGATGTTAATCATGGTCTTGACTGTCTTACTGAAGTGTTTGGGAATGAAAGTTTTTCATTTGATAGGTTTATCAGTATAAAATGGAGGGAAACCAAGTGTGGGGAATGGGTAAGTGTAGAGCTTTGGGAATTGTAAATGACTTGTAACTTTTTTGTTTTGTAGGTTTTGTGTGACCCATTAGGATATGATCTGCCTTTGCTGGCAGGTCTAGTGGTTTAGGAATTAGGCTTCAGTATAAATTTCTAGCTGCATCTGAGTCATCCGGGGTGGGTGCTTTCTGACTGGTCTGCAGGTGGTGCCAGTGAACAGTGCTTCCTGCTGTCTGACCCCTTTTAGTTACTGGGATGTGAGCTCATACTTTGGACATTCTTACCAAGAAGTAGTAAGATTTTAATAAAACATGACCAGAATTTTGAAATTCAGGTCATGAGTGTGAAATTCTCAAATTTACATAAAGAAGTAGAAGGATGTACACTGTAATATTTGAGGTTAAAAAGGAAGGAAATCATAGCAGCTTTTGATGTTTCTTAATCCCCATTAGAAGGTTTGAAGCTTTGTACCTGAACAACCCAGTTAAAGCACTAGGAGTGTTTTTGATGCCTTAGAAATAGAAATTTTTTGTTTGACAAAAGCTAGGAAGGAATAAAGTCCATTCTATAGCTATTAGATCTGCCTCTCAGGAAAAAGTACTTGGTCTTTTTGTTCCTGGCTTTCCTCAGTTTGTGAGATAACTCTATTTTTTTAAAATATTTTATTTCTTTCAATGGATTTGAAATAAAAAACCTTTGGAATAATGACTGTATTTCATTGTGGGCTTCTTTGTTAGATGCCAAGAAAGTAATCCAAGTTTGTTCACCAGCTTGAGGAGCAGGCAGATAGATGCCTGCTGCCTTTATATGCTCAGCCCAAGGCAGGGGTGAGGTGGGTGTGGGAGCAAGCAGAGGCACTTTTGTCCCAAGTGCTCAGTTGTGTCCAACTCTTTGCAACTCCATGGACTGTAGCCCGCCAGGCACTGTCCATGGGATTTTCCAGGCAAGAATACTAGAGTGGATTACCATTTCCTTCTGCAGGGGATCTTCCTGACCCAGGGATCAAACCCATGTCTCTTGGATCTCCTGCATTGGCAGGCGGAGTCTTTACTGTTGAGCAACCAAGTGTAGGCTTCCCTTAATGACAGGAACATAGTTGCCTCTGAATTTAGAGTGCCTCTTCTGTTACATTCTTTGTTACCTAGTCTAATGTAAAACTATATACCAGAATAGAGGAAGCAGAAACTCGCATCCTGCTTGGACACCTAGTGTCTCAGAATGCGGCCTCCACCTTCAGGGTAGGAAATGAGTTCTTGGGCTTTGAGGTCAATGGGACATCAAAGTCAGGCCTTTCCCCTCACAGTCCAGTATGTGCACTGTCTTCGTTTGAGTGTCTAAAAAGGGATTCATAAATACAAGTCTGAGAAAAGCTGATCTGAGTGTTTGAAGGGAAGACACCATCTAGATCCTTGTCTTCTATGATCCTTCAGTTATTTTCATGTCTTGGGAAATAGATTTCTACTTACTGCATCTTAATGAAAACTGTAGTACAGTAATGATTTCTGTGGGTAGTACGTCCCATTTCATTTTTATGAATTAGTTGTAAGTTAGCATCCAATAACTTGTCAGGCAATTCTATATCAAGATGGTTGTGAGGGTGCCAGCCCTATTTCAATAAAAGCACTTTAGACCTACTGCTCTGGCTGCCTGGGAGTGAAGAGCTCATGTGCCTTTTACACGTTCTCAGGGGAGAACAGCAACCCTGAATACCCTTTTATTGCAAAGTCCCCGCTCCTCCCAGCACTCCAGACCTGAAGGTTGTGCAGGGGTGTCCAGAGAACAGGGCTTGGAAGAGAATGGAGTTGTTAGGCTGTCACACATCACACTTGTTTGCAGCCCATTTACCCGAGTCTTGTGTCCTGGGAAGCAGCTATTGGACCAGATGCCTTTGTACATCGCCACCTTTCAGTCCTGCCAGCTGAGTCTCTGGACTTCCCCGGCCTCACCTCCCCTGTCCCACCTTCTGCAAGAGACATCACCCTCTCTGGCCTGGCTTTGGTCTCCCTGGAATCGTGCATGCTTTCCAGATCTTGGTGGTTCCCCAGTACACTCTGGGTGAGACCCAGCCTCCTTGGTATGTGGCTCTGTTTGCTCTTGCTGCCTTCACCCCCTACCCTAAACCCCCGCAACTCTCGCGCATCATTGCATCACTTTGCTTTGACAGCAGGGCTTTTCTCAGCACTCTACCCAAGGGCTGGCTGCCTTAGCACAGCTCTGGAATGGCTTCATCCCTATAGTTTTCATTTTCCACCCTTCCTGTCTCAGGCCCCTGGCTTTCTAGGCAAAGTCAATCTTGTTTTACTTTCCTTCTTGGCACTTTTCAGTGTTTGAGACTATTTGTGCATGTTTAAGAAGTCAGACTCCAGGCTCTGAGAGCTGGGGTCTTGTTTTTATGCCAACATTGGCATATAGGAGATGCTCATTTCTTAAATGAATACCTAGACTTTTCCTGGATTTTGGAAAGGCTTTTTGGCACTGTGTGGCTTTCTGGAATGGTCTCTAATGAATTTCTGAAGCTGTACAAATTTCTGCAAAACTTGGAGACTTAGAACTTGAATGCAGCCTCTGAAACATGGGGCGAGGTAGGTGACTACTGTGTCCATGAGTCCTACCTGCAAAGAATGCCCTTTGATTCACCCACCTGGGTCCAAGCAGCCATTTCTGTCCCCATTGTCCCTCTGGGACAAAGAGCACTTAGTTACTGAGATTTCTCCTTGAACTTTTTTATCAATTTGCTTGATAATCAGAGCAAACGTTATGTGAAATGGGCAGTTTTGGTATAAAACATCTAAAGGGGAGGAAGGAGAAAGATGTATTTTTCAGTTAACACAACTGAAGTGTCCACTTAAGAGTTCCAACCTAATTTTAACTGGTTTTATCCTGGGGTTGGGGGGAACTTGAAACCCTGTGCATAGAACGTGGCTTGCAGGTACAGCTGGTGGTGAGAACGATTTGGGCAAACTCAAACTGACCTTCAGAAAGACAGCCATTACTCAAACTGCCCAATATCATGAATAATCATTATTAGGGAACATATCTGCTTGTCAGCAGGAAACCTTAAAAACTGGATGTTATAAATCTTACAATTTATAAAAAATAGTGATTTGAAATGAATACTGCTTTATTTTAATGCGGCCACATCACAAGCACTTTTGTACTAGTGGCATAGAAGAAATCAGTTAGTGCTCCTCTCCTCAGTGACTTAAACAGTCTCTGGCTTGGGCTATGGTTTCCCCATCCTGTCAAGGCTTCATCAGTGACATCTGCCCTTCTAACCTGCCCTCCACCTGGGCTCAAAAACTCCCAGACATGCAGAGACAACCCTGGGATGGTGTGCAGGATTCTAGAAGCTGGCTGCGGAGTGGGGGTGGGTCTGGGAGACCGTGGGAAGGCTGGGCAAGCAGAAGAAGGCCAGGTGTCCGGCCACTGGGCCAGGTGGCCCCAGCGCCTCAGAGTGGAGTTCGGCCAGCGGGCTCCCATTCATGGGAGACAAATGGACTCGGCAAACGTGGAAGGAATGAGAGAGCTCACCTTTGCCATGGTGCTGCCTGAGGCAGCAGTGTCTCTCAGACAGATGCTGGCTTTACTAGCACATCTCACATGAAATGGAGACCAAGGACAAGGAGTCTGCAAGTCGCAGGTTCTCAGGTAACTGTGCTTTAAATGCTACGCAGTTACGACCACTTCGGGAATCCAGCTTTGAGGCAGTGCATGCGTGCATGTTCAAGTCACGTCTGTCACCCCATGGGCTGTAGTCCACCAGGCTCCTCTGTCCAAGGGATTTTCCAGGCAAGAATACCAGCATGGGTTGCCATTCCCATCTCTGGAGGATCTTCCCAACCCCGGGATCGAACCTGCATCTCCTGTGTCCCCTGCATTGGCAGGTGGATGCTTTACCACTGAGTCACCCATTCAAAAAGGCTTCTTACGCTACAGTCCTCCTCTGCACCTGTGCAGAGGCAAGACAGCCCCACCTACACATTCAGGCCCCAGAGGGCTGTGCAGGGTCACTTTCCAGGTCTGAGCATGTGTTCATCTGCAAAGGGAAAAAGAATGGGTGGGGGGGGCGCGATGGGCACAAAGGTCCATTTTAGGAAATCTTTTATTGCAAGTTCCATTCTGTGTATTGATTTTGAGAGAAAACACTAGAAATGCCCCTTTCCTGAGAATACAAATGACAGCGAAATACACATTTAGTTTCTAGTAAAAAGAACAGGATTATTGAAAATAATGTGATAATTGAAAATTAGTATTCTAAAAGCTGCTGTCACTCAAGCAAAGTAAAGACATTTAGATGAAGGGTGTGATCCCATAGAAGGGTAGTAAGAAAGTTTCTCCAGGGAAACAGCATATTGGGTGTGATCAAAGGCCGATGATATCGTGTGTGATTTCTGAGCACCACTGGGGCCGATCAGCAGGCCGCCCTCCAGGAAGCAACTTGCGAGGCCGGGGTCCAGCCCCCTGCCCCGGGGCACACCGTGGCTCTACTTGGGGCCAGAGAAGGGAGCAAAGGCCTTGTCCTGGCCCGCCATGCACGCTTCCACCTCCTCCACCGTGCGGGGCACGCAGGTCAGCAGCTCCATGCCAGTGTCAGTTACCACGACGTCCTCCTCGATCCGGACCTGGTCAGATGGATGGACGCTCGTTATTTCTGAGCTGCCTTTGTGCGCTTAGTTTGAGCATCAGGCCCGACAGCTCCAGGCTGAGTGGGAAGAGCCCTTTCTGTGGAGTGGGCAGCACGGCCCGGGTCGGGGTGCTGGCCTTAAGGCCGCTGTGGGCAGCTGCTGGGCGGAAGGCGCCTCCCACAGGACATCTGCTCCTCCACCCGCCCACCCCGGCCTGCCCCCTGCCAGGTGGGTGGGAACCCCTGGAGTGGGCAGAGGTTTTGTAGGAAATCTGTGTCGCTTGTGTTGAGGGCTGGTGACAGACCATGAGGAAGGGTGGGCCAGGTGCCTCTCAAGTGAGGAGAGTCAAGACTGTGCCTCCTGTCCTGGAGGACAAAGAGGGGACAGGTTGGGGGGGCAGGGGAGGGGGCGTTCTGGGAGCAATCAGCACTCACCCCACCAAAACCACGGAAGCGCTGCAGGACCTCGCGGTTAAAGAAGCAGGCGCGGGCCGGGTCGGCCAGGGCCTCATCCAGGAGGTGGTCGATGAAGTAGATGCCCGGCTCCACGGTGAGCACCATGCGTGGCTCCAGGTGCCGAGCGGTGCGCAGGCGCCGCAGGCCGGGTTCGTCAATCCGATCCACGCCCTGGGTGGGGGTAGGGGGGTGGTGGGGAGAGGATAGTGAAGGGGGGACCCAGGAGGGCACAGCCCCAAGCCAAGGCCACCACCTCGGCGGGAGGCAGACAGAAATGGGTAAGTGCGCAGAGCACCCGCCCCTGTCTGTGCAGGCATCCACACGTGGGGCCTGGCTCGAGCCCCTTGGGTCCTCCTGGAGCCGCGGGAGGCTCGGTGACCTCGGGGGTCTCCAGCCCAGACTCGGACTTGCTGGGTCATCCACGGTACTTCAGATAAAGCCCTCTGCTCTCTGCACGCTCCCCTAGATTTCTTGTGTCCCTGCCTCTTGTCACCCCTAGAACTGTGCCCCATGGACACTCGTGTGCACACACCCAAGGCACACTGCCCCTGCTGACCCAGGGGGTTGGCTGGGGGTCCGGCTGCCTTACCCAGGCCCTCTCCCCTCCAGGGGAGCAGTTGAAGCCAAACCTGTGAAGCCAAAAAAGCTCTTAGGAGGCTGCAGGGCCTCCCAGGCTGCAGCTTTCTTCCAGGCAGCTGGTTTCCAGGCAGAGTGGAAACCAGCCCTGAAGTGCTGGGCCTGGCTCCCTACAAGCTGAGGCGCAGGTTTTCCGTGTGGCTTTCCAGGAAGAGGGACAGGTGCTGTCAGGACACCAGCCCTGGCTTATGTGTGCACAGATGCACACTCACCCCGTGTGCATGGCCTGGGGGTGTGGCCCACAAGGAGCGCATAGGGCAGCTCCACACCACGCCCATGCACTGAGCCTCCGCTGGGCTGTGGGGGACTGGCTCTCAGCTCTCTCCCCCAGCACTCACATGGGCATGGCCGATGGGGCAGGTGGCACCTAGGACACTTGCAGAAATTTCCCTGCCTTCCCCAAGTCCTGGAGGCACCCGTCCGGCCCTTGGCCAAGGCCTGGGAGCAAGCGCACAGCAGGCAAGCTTTCTGGTCAGCCTCTGAGCTTGCCCTGCCCCACTCATGGCTCTATGCTGGAAGCCCAGCTGCTGGAGATGGAACTGTCATTTCTGACTGCTTGGGGGCCAAGAACATCAGACTTCAATTAGTGGTTCATGTAAGGTAACCAGAAACGGGCTGGCTCAGCCTCCATCCATGGCTGGGCACAGCAGGGAAGGCCGTGACCATGGTTCCACGAGGGCGGGGACAGCAGGGCACTGTGTGCACGGCCATCCTGACCAGGTGTGAGCCAGGCTAGGATGGAGGTGACGAGGGGGCACCAAGGCTCTGTGACCCCCGGGGCACAGACGCCCGCCTGGTGTGGTATTTGACCCCACAGTACTATGTGCCCGGAGGGTCTGGGCAGGAGGGCAGAGGACACAGGACAGCAGTCTGGGATGACGGTCCCTGTGCTCAGGTGAGAGGTGCTGGGTGGTGGGTAGCAGGTGCCTATCTCTTGCCATCTGAAGCCTGCGTCTGCCCCCTGGGCAGCCCCTCCCCTCCCTTCCCTTCATGCTGTCCCCAAGAGCCAACCCTTTCTTTCCAAGGCTGTCAAAGTCAGGGACCTGGCGGACGCTGAGAGCTGACGAGGTCTTGCCTCCCTGATCTCCTTGGTGGCTGAGGGGCTGTGCCAAAGGCGGGGGGTTTCCTCAAACTTGTACAGACGGCCTTCTCTCCAGAAGATTCCAGGACCACTGCTCAGACTGGGGGTGAGGGGTGAATGGAAGGGATCCAGGGGGCACAGGAGGATGTGCCTGCCCCCTGCCCACTGACTAGGAGTCTGCGCTATAGGCCTCACCAAGGGACGGCCAGATCAGGGCTGGGAGAAGGATGGAGGAGGGGCTGAGTAGGGAGAAGACCCCATGAAGGGGAGAGGCCGAGCGCCCAGCCCCTCAGGCCTGGGGACTTCAGCCTTGTTGGGGGTGGGGGGACCCTGCCCACATCGGGTCCACGCCGGCTTCCGCTTGGGCTCAGGGCTTAACGGGGCCTCCGCTGCACTGGGCTCCGGGCAGAGGAGACCCAGATGTGTCCGAAATAAAACAAATGACTTTTAGAGGAAAAGCCATATTTTTTCCACAATGTTTATCTGTCAAAAGAATAGACTCCGTGAGCACAAAGGACCGCTTACTGGAAAAGATGAAAACAGTTTGCTGCCAATTTTCTCTGGTGGAAAAAAAAAGTGCTTTGGCGACTAATGAATAACGAACCTCAGTTAACAATGTCTGGAAGGCTCCGCTCTTGGCTCCCTGCGCACAGTGTGATGGATAGAAATTAGGAAATTAAAACTGATTTTGTTTCTCCAAATTTAACTGTTTACACTTGAGGAAAAAATAATTGAATAATAATGCTTCTCTTGAGCAATTCCCCCCCCCCCCAAAATCGTTCTTAGAGCTTTCAAAATACCCTGCAGCTAAGGGGCCAAGCCATCTTGGCTAACTGGCTAGTGGGCCCCAGGGCGTGCACCGATTGCATAATCCACCCCCCTGTGCTTCGGGCACCTGGCCAGACGGCAGAGCCGGCTCACCCCCACCCAGGGCCTGTGGAGGCTGCAGCCACCTGCCCGGCAGAGCCTCCTGAAGCCTCAAGCTTTGTCTGGGTGGTCCTTTCAAGGGTCGGTAGTAGGAGGGGGAGGGGAAAGCCTGGCCTGGAGATGCCCACACAAGCCTCCCTGTCCCGCTGAGCATGCCTCCAGGAGATGAGGAGGCCATGGGGGCCCTGTTGGCCCAGGTATCTGGGTGGACCCAAGCTGAACCATCCAGCTGAACCAGGAGAGGGTGTGGCAGGACTTGCGAGGGGCACAGGGCTCAGCTCGTCCCAGGATGGACCGGTCACCAGCCTGAGGCGGCTTGTCATACCTGATGAATGAAGCCAGAGGCAGGAGGACATGATGGGTGCACTGCCAGCCCACCACTGAGACCCAGCTTTGGGGCTCCCACGGCCCTGTGGGGACCCCGTGCACTGCACACTTTCAGGGCAGGTGTTGCCCCCAGCATGCAGCCCTGGGCCCTGTGCAGAGCACACCCATTGCCTGCCAGGTTCTGTGGAGGCGGCTGCCAGAGGAGACGCCCTCGTATAAGGACCAGGGCCCTTGGGCATGGGGGGGACCGGGGCAGCGACCTGGGTTGGGATCAACCCCTGGGTGAAAGGGGCGGAGGGAGAGCAGGCCTTGCCAAGACCCCAGTCCTTCTCATCCTGCCTGATCCCCTACACTGCGGCCATGTCCCAGAGCCCCACTCCACCCCCAGGGAGGTCCAGGCTCAGCTCCGATTCACAGGCAGGCCGCTCAGGCCAACGCGCCCACACTGACCTCGGGGTAGCCTCCCACGTCGTGCACATCGAGTCCCAGGAAGTGGCCGAGCCCATGAGGCATGAACACGGCTCCCAGGTGGACCTGGACCATGGCATCCACGCTGCCGGTCAGGAGGCCGATGCGGGTCAGCTCCTCCAGGTGAATGCGGTCGGCCAGGCGGTGCATGTCGGGCCACCAGACACCTGGGGCTCAGAAGGAGGCTGCAATGAGCTGAGGCCTCTGGCAGCCTGGCCAGGGCTTCCCAGGGCAAGGTTGCGGGGAACACAGGAAGCCCTTGCATTGGCTGAAGCCGGAGAGCCTGAGGTGAGGGGCAAGAGCGATGCGGCCCAGGCGGTCTCCCTGCAGGGCTCTCTCAGCGCAGCTCTGGACTCGAGACCCCTCCTCTCTCTCCACTATGCCCTCGGGGCTAGGCTCCTCTCATCCACAGTCACCCGCAGGGGCCCAGCTCCTGTTGTGTGTTCCCAGGGCCAGGGGAGCCCAGTAAAATCTTTGGCACCAGGAGGAGAAAAGCATGTGTCCCCAAGAGCCAAGGTGGGGCGGCCTCGGTGAGCCCTAGACAGAGGCTCGGGGTGGGGGGGGGGGAGGGGGAGGGGCGTCCCTGCACACCCCCGCATGGGGGGCTGAATCATCCTTGGAGCCGCTGTGGGGAGCAAAGGTTTCTGGGGTGAAGGTGCAGCCGGCGCAGCCTCCCCGGCAAACCGGCAGGGGTCTGTGGCCCTGTGGCTACCAGCACCAGGTGACCATCTCCGTGGTAGCCCAGATGTCCAAACCCTGGGCTCTAATCAAACTCATCCCGGCCCCATGTTTCTGGGGCAAAGGTCACCATGAAGAGCATCCCCAGGCACCGAGTTCTGAGGAGTGCAGGCTCTTCGGAGCTGCCTGGCCCCCAGGGAGGCCCTGAGGGGCTGGAGCCTTAGGCCCTCAGGGAGCGGCCTCCAGGAGGCTCACTGTCACTGGGGCGCGGCCGCCTTGCCCACTGGGCTCCACGAAACGAGGGCACCAGGTGCTCAGACTGAGCACAAGAACCTAGGCCGGCAACGCTCGCTGCCCCACCTTACGAGGGCGGAGCTGGGGGCAGGCCGCGTGCCAGCCGAGGCCAGCAGCCCTAGGGCGAACGGGGCCAGGAGGACAGGGTGGGACCTGCACCCAGAGAGAGGGTCCGGGCTTCACCCTGTGGCCCTCCATGTGAGGCCTAACCCTGGCTCCCACGGGGCCGCTCAGCCATGCCCCGAGGATCTCGGCTGCAAGAGGGGAGCACTGGGATTCCACACCCCAAGGGCCCTTGCTGGACCCTGCACTGGTGAGGGGTGGGCCACCAGGATCTGAGCCTCTGGGGCTGGCAGGGAGCAGATGATGGGCCCGAGGGGTAGAGGGAGACGAGACACGGGCCCTCCCCTTTCAGACACTTGCTGGGCACCAGGCCCCCAGGTGTCCCCCTACCCTGCCAGAGACAGTGGGACCATGTTTGGGGTCTTGAGCTGGCTGGAGGCCCAGGGCTGACCCAACCTCCTGAACCCAGGACCCAGGGTCTGAACTGGTGGTGCTGCACCCCGATCACCAGGCAGTGGCCAGTCCCCGGCCCAAGACACAGGGAGGCCAAGGGTGGAGGAAGCCCAGTCTTGTCCAGAGACACAGCCTCCTTGGAGTCCAGCCCTATTCTACCTGCCTCAGCCCATGAAGTGGGGGTGGCGTCCTGGGGTCTGGTTACAACCACGTCGGCACGGGTGGCTGGGTCTGCACCCCTGGGGGTGAAGCCAGCACGGGGAGCTTTTCTCTGATGGTCTGGCATCCTGAAATAGAGACCTTGTTAACCAGGTCCCAGCTAGGCCGCTCACCTGCTGTGTGGCCTAGGCAGGCCTTCACCTCCGGGAGCCTCAGATGCTTCCTTTGTCAAAGAGCCATGACACTGGCTGTCAGAAAGCTGGCTCTAGAGCCTCTGGCATCTACTGGTGACCAGCTCACTAAGCTCCCCCAAACTGCCACTGTTCATCCATCACTTGTGGCCAGTCAGGCCCTAGGTTCGACACTTTATGATCAGTGCATCCCTGGGGCACAAGCCAAGCCTGCCCAGCCTCAGCCACCGCTCTTTTCCTAAGACTGACTCACCCGCCTTGCCCTCCTCGGGCCGGGACCCCTGCTCCAGAAGCACACCAGAGGGCCCTGCACGTCTGAGCCTTTGCAGAGCTGGCTGGCCTGTGACCCTTCTCCTCGAGGTCTCAGCGTACACATCAGCCCCTCCTGGAGTGACCTCCCCCATCGCAATCGCTCTGCTGTCCCGGCCATTACTGTCTGCACCTTGTTTCCTGCACAAGTATGCTCACTTGCTTCTAGGGTCTCTCCACCAGGAGGGCAGCTGCCTCTCCAGGGCACACCACGGCCTGGCAGAGTGGGTGCTGGTCCGGGGGTGGGCGTGCAGCGCGCTCTTTCCTAAGGCCTGCCCCCTGCCCAGGGCCTCTGGGCCTAAGAGTAAGCCCCCAAGTAACCCTGCGAACTCCGCTCCCATCACTCAGCCTGGCCCCGGCGAACCCGGGAAGGGCCAATGCCCCAGGGCAGCTCCATCTCTCTCCGGCAGGGCCTTTTCGGGTCGCCAAGCGAGAGGCCCGGGAAGCAGGCTGACTTCAAACCTGGCTACCTTCCACAGTGCGGGGCTGCGGTCTCGGCCGGGCCCAGGCAAAGGGTGGGAATCAGGTATAAATCAAGCTCCGTGCTGGCAGCTCGGCTCCCCTCCTGTCCTCGCGGCCCCTCGTGGGGGCCGGACGTGTGGGCCCCGGCGGTCCCCGTGGCGCCTGTAGTCTTCCTCGCCTGTGCGCCCTTGGGGAAGGCCGTGCACACGGCTCTCTTGGCCGGGAGTGGGAGTTTCTGCCTGTGTGTGGTTAGGGTTGTGACAGTGATTAAACCTCCAGCAACTTGGCCCCAATGTCTGGCCCGGATGGTGGTTACAACACCCACGGCCAGGGCAGGGGCCCCTGAAGTAAGTGGAGGTTACTGTCCTCGGGCGAGGCTGCAGGGGTGGGCACAGGCCAGAGGGTCTCCCTGCCCGCCTAAGGCCCCAACGTCCCGGCTCCTCGGCCCCTGCAGCCCTTGGGCACCTCCGAGCCCTACAGGCCTGGCCAGCAGCATCGGGGGTCCCCCGAGCCTGCTCACACTGGGGACACCGCACCGAGATCATGCTGCAGAGACCAGGTCATCTGCCCTGCCCGCCCTCCCACCGCCAGCAAGCACCGAATCTCATCCTCTCTTCCGAAACCTCTCCTGACCCCGGCGCCTCCGTGGGCCCCCACCTCTCCTGGACCCTTGCCTGGCTCCTCCAGACTCCTCACCCCACTGCCTCCTGTAAACGGCCGGGACACCGGGCCATCTCTATGGAGCATGGGTCAGACCAGGCCAGTCCCCGCCCCAAGGACAGAGCCCCAAGCTCCTTGGACTGGCTTCCCTCTCCAGCTTCATCCCCACCCACTCCTGAGGTGCCCCTGTGCCTTCCACCTGCCACTCCCTCCGCTGGGACACCTCACCTTCCCAGTCTCACTGCCTGGCCTCCTGTGGGCCTCTGTGTTGAGGCTTTCTCCAGGAAGCCCTCCCTGATTGCCTCTTCCTTTGCTGCCCGAGCTGGGCAGGGCTCGGTCTCTGAACCCCGAGAAGGCGGGGCCCTCTGCCCTGCTCCGAGTCTGACAACCACGTGGCCTGACCGGGAGCCCCCGCCTCACTGTGGCTCTCTTGCAGCCTGTGCTGTGACTTGACGGGCCCAGGATTCACGTGTGCCCCCAACCCCGCTCCTCTGTGCACTCGGGCCCAGGGTAGCAAGGCGGCATCTGCGTTTGCACTGTACCACCTGCCTCTTGGCTCAGAGGGACCCGAGTCCTGGGGCCCAGGCCCCACTACGTATCCCGAGCAGCCTCAAGTCACCGACTGGCCTTTGTGCTCACCTGGCCCCCTCGGACCACACCTTCCCCTGATGGGCCAAGAGCCTGCTGGGCCTGCTGCCGGGGCGGGCTCCTGGGAGCCTCGGCAGCATCCATCACAGCCTTGAGGCCTCCTGCCCAGAGCGTGACAGGCCTGGGGGGCTCCGAGGCCCGGAGCCGAGCTGGGAAGGCAGTGGAGGGCCCCTTGAGCTACATCCTCACAGCCCATCCAGACAAAGAGCTCACTTCATCCGAAGACAATGGCCCTCAGGGGATGACCGCGCGCCAGGCCCTGGGGGTGCAGGAGGGAAGGCTCAGGGCCGGGGTCCCAGGGCAGGCCCCGAGGGCTGCAGGGAAGTGTCTGGCAGGCCATGCTGGCGCGGGGCGGAGGGCTTCCAGCCCACCCCGCCACATAGCCCTGCCTGCTGCCAGGACCTCGGGGGACCCACTCACCCTGCAGAAGGGCAGGGGCAGCACGTGCCTGGGCAGCAGGCGCCACGATGCTGAGTTAAGCATGACCACCCCACGCGGTCCCCTTGTGGTCCCCCACCCCAAACCCTGGCAGAGAGGCCAGGGAGGGCGGGAACTCCCCCACTGCCCTTTGGCCAGCAGAGGGGCCTCTCCCAGGCCAGAGGGGGGACACAGGGCCTTCACCAAGCACAGTCCTGGCTCTGCTGGTTTCTGCCCTAAGGTGCCCCCAGTCTGCATGGCATGCTGTCCCACTGCCTCTGCCTGCTGGGCCTCTGTGCCCAGGACCATCTCTAAGGCTAGGCCTCCAAGGGAGTCCAGACACTGCAGCCCCTGCCCCCACCAGGGAGGGAGGCAAAGCTGGCAAAGGGACCCTGACCAGCGCCTGCAGAAAGAACGACCCTGCCCCGACTTGTGGCCAGCTTGGACACCGGCTCTGGTCCCTGCCCTGCCCACAGCACCTCCTGCGCTCGTGGGGGCCGGGTATCCTACCGGCAAGCCCATAGGAGCCCGTGGAGACAGGTGGTCAGCCCAGGATGGGCGCCTGCCCTGACGCGGAAGCCTTGGAGAGATTTGCTTGCATGGGCCAGAAGCCGGCACGTGGCCGCTGCACCCACCCCCCCACCCCGCCGCGGGGCCGGTGAGGGTGGCGTTTCCCCCAGATGCGGCCGGCCCTGCTGCTCTCCCACAGCCTCTGAGCGAGCTCAGCCCTCCTCCCCAGGCTGCCTCTGCGTGGCAGGGCGGGACACTCCCCCCGGGCCCCAGGCCTGCCTCGCTCAGGATCCCTGTACCCCGGGATCCCTGTGTGCTCCAAGCACCAGCCCCTGCCCCTCCTCTGGGCATCTCGCTGTGACCCCGGCTGTCTCTATTCACTCGTCCCTGGAAGGCGCAGGAAGCAGTCACACAGTCTCTGCGGGTGTTTGTCTTGGCCCAGGAGTCAAGCCCACAAACCAGGGGCATTTCCGCTAGGACCGGGGGCTGACCTGGCCACGGCCTTTGTGCTGCTATGGGGGGTATGGCTACCCCCTCTGAGGGCAGCGCTGTGAGCACAGGACCCCTGGCCCGCCAGGCCTGCCTGGCATGCGACCCCCAGGAACAGCGTGGCACAGCCTTGAAGAATGGGGCGGGGGGCACGCTGGGGGCTCTGCTCCCTTCCCACCCCCTCCACGGGAACCTTGAGGCCCCAGTGCAGGCCAGGCCTGTGCCCCGCCGTGTGCTGGGGGAGGCCTGCCTCGCAGCCCTCAGGGACCACCTCAGCTGAGTCTGGCCTGGCGGGCCCTGAAGCCTTGTAACCGCCCCCAGAGTGACATGGCCAGGCAGTCCCACAGGACCTTGGTGCTGGGACCCTTTCCAGTTCAATGTGTGGCCCCCGGGACTTGCCTGTGGACCTGGCCACTTTCTGAGCAGAATTGGCGTTGCTTTGTTGATCGACTGAGCCGGCCAGGACACCAGCTGGGGACGTGCCACCCAGGGCCTGCTCAGGACCACCCTCTGTACCACGGCCTGGAGCCAGGCTCGGGTCCACACAGGTCCCTCTGTGCTCCTGGAGGGACCTGCCATGGGCTGTGGATGCACCAGGGTCTTGGGACCATGCACCTCCATGCACTCCCACTGGCACAAACCTTTTGCTGCAAGTGAAACACTTATCACTTAAACAACCGATGTTCAAAGCTGAACAGAACCTTCCACTCCTTCTCTCCCTGGGGTAATGCAAGGATATCAGGAGGAGGAGATGGTGCCCCTTACTCGGGGTGACGGCTCCACACAGGCGGAGTTTTACAGGTAACAGGTGCCATGTACTGGGGTTTAAAGGTCAGAAAGTATAAAAGGCTCCCGGTGATCACCCTCCCTCCTCGCCGCGCCCCACCCGGTCTGTCGGTCTGTCTGGCTGGCTCCCTTCCTGCCCCTCCCGCTGTGGATTTACAAGCACTTGTGAATCCATGTTCTCACCGCCCTCGCCCTCTTCTTTATCACCTTTTGTGAATTCACCCCCTCCTGCACTGCTCTGTCTTTATGCAACAGTCCGCCCTGGAAGCGTCCACACTAGCCCCTACCTAGAGAGAACTGCTTTTTAAACACAATTAGCGCAAGATGCTGTTCTCTTCTGCAACCGCCACACCAGGCCAGCCCCGTTGATGCCGTCAGCTGCCCCGAGCTGAGCTTTCAGGTTTCCTTCCTTGTCTCCTTTTTCGGGTGTATCTGTGTTCCTCATCTTTGGACTCATCTGATCACCAGGCTTTGAACCCGCTGGACAAGTGAGAGTGCGGGCCCGTCACCCCTCCCCGGCTCCCTGGCCTCTGGTGGCCCTGGAACTGGATGGGGGCGTCCGGAAAGCCCTGCTCACAGTTTGCCTCCTCGGAAGGCGGCAGTCGCTGACGAACCCTCACAAGCAGCACTTGGCCGGCAACGACTGGACACGGGGTGGCATGGGCTCCAGGTGGAGCCATCAGATTCTGGGCCCTCAAGGGGCCACACTCTGGGGCCTTTACAGTTTAGGGGCTCAGGATCCTTTCTTCTTTTTCCCTTTGTAAATACTGTAAATTTCCTACATACGAATGAGTTCAGTTCTAACACCGTGGTCGTTAAGTCCGACCAAGTTAGCCTAGGTACCTGACTTTTCTAGACAATGCCAGACACGTGAACTAATTTAAGTGACTGGACAGGCGCACGCACATTCGCACCTTTGAGAGCTCGCGACTTGAAGGTTCATGTGTTGGAGACTGACTATAAAAGTTCCGTGGAGAAATACAAGTCTGACTGCCACAGTCCCCCTGATTCCAGTATGAACTCAGAGTCCAGCCTTCAAGGCCTGTCAGGCCAGGTCCTCAGATGGCCCCCCAGCCTCTGCTCATCACTCGCCACACACCGGAGAGACACTCGGCTCCTGCCCAACCAGAGGCGAGTGTCCACACCGCCAAGCCCTCGCTGCAGCAGCCGCTGCTGTGGGACAGGGCAGGGGACACGCTGACATCCCAGCGGCCAGTGTGGACAGGGAAACGCGCAGAAGGAGGAGGTGGGAGGGGATGGGGGTGGCCTCGGGCTGAGCTCCCTGAACCCCCCCAGCCCTGTCTCTGCTTGGTGGTCAGCCCCCTTTCCCAGGAGTGATGCTGGGGACCTGCTAGCATCTGGGGCCTTACTGGCTGAGCATGAGAGGGGGGGACAGAGTCAGGTCGCTGCAGAGTGCCGGACCTGCTTCTCAGAGGCGCCCCGCCCCTGGCCACCAGCATCCACATGCCATGTGGTCCTCCCCCCAGGCCCCGCCCCTGCCCTCACCTGGCTTCATGGCGCTCATGACGGCCCGGCAGCTCCGCAGCACCGCCTCATAGATGGCCTTCTGGTCTGGGGTGAACTTGCCGTTGGCGGGGAAGGAGCACGTGATGTCAGAAGCGAAGCAGTAATATTCACCGCCCATGTCGAACACACTGCCGGGAGAGTGGGGTGTGAGGCCGGTGGGACACTCGGGGGCACCTGTACCCACCCCAGCCACGCTTCCCTCCTGCTGGGCACTCAGGGCCACCAAACCAGAGACTTCTTGCAACACGGCCTGTGCTGGCCAGGGCCCTGGACGCCTAGCTGTGGGGATTCCCTGAGGGAGGGGTGGAGGTATCCCCAGGCGCCCACCTGGCCTCCACAGAGGCACTCTGACAGCGCTGCCCCCACCCCCACCAAGGGCCACCCTGCACCCAGCATGGGCACAGCTGCAGCCCACAGGGCAGTGCTCATGGGAACCGGATGGGGCCTCGGGACAGATGCACATGCCAGACAGAAGACGTGGGCTGAGGCGCGGTGCCCGCCTCTCACAGGCCCCAGGGCCCCAGTGAATACCCCGACTTGGGGGCTGCCTGGCCCCCAGCATCCCCTGGCCACAGAGCAGGGACCAGGAGGCACAGAGGCGGGTGTGGAGAGTGTGGGAGGAAGGCAGAAGCGGGAGCTGGGAGCCCCTGCTGGTGGAGGCAGGGCTGCGCTGGGACAGACAGCAGGCTGCTGAGTCAGGGGGCTGGGCCGCCGGGCCTGCCCTCTGGACACCCGTGACAGGGCCCCGAGCCGCGGGGCTGGGCTGGAGTGCGGGGAGCCAGGCTCTGACACCCTCGCCGCCTGGCCCTACTGTCAAGGGCAGGTGAGAATCCCGCCTCACGCACCATTCACATGGGGATAAGACAAAAACGAGGGAGGGGCTGCTGGGTCCAAGCTTGGCTCCCACCAGGTTACCCACAGAGAGGAGTGGGGTGCTCAGAATGAGCAGCCTCCCTGTCCTGTCCCCTCACCAGCAGGATGCTGGACAGCGGGCCAAGAGCTGGACCATTAGGGGGTCAGGGTCAAGTCATGATGCTGATGGTGACAAGACAGGCTGGGGTCATCAGTTCAGCCTCAGGCCCAGGCCCCTGCGGTACCTTCGGGACTAGGGGCCCCAGAGAGGGTAGGGGCGGAGGTGGATGCCACTGCCCTCTCTGGGTCTGGCTCCGCCCCGTGGGGGGCAGTCTGCAGCCACTGTTGGAAAATTGGAGCCCCGAGGCAGAGCCACACTGCCATGAAAAGAGCCTCTCAAACCCCAATTCTGGGCTGCCCTGAGAGCTCAGTGGTGAAGAGTCTGCCTGCCAACGCAGGAGACACGGCTTCAACCCCTGGTCTGGGAAGATCCCACATGCCTCGGAGCAGCTAAGCCCATGCGCCACAACTGTGCTCTAGAATCCAGGAGTCACAATTACTTAAGTCTGTGTGCCCTAGAGCCCATGCTCTGAAACAAGAGAAGCCACCACAAGAAGTCCTTGTACAGCAACTAGAGAGTAGTCCCCGCTTGTCACAACGGGAGAAGAGCCCTCAAAGCAAGGAAGACCCAGCGCAGCCAAAAATAAATAAAATTATTTTAAAACCCCCAAATTTCAGTGGTAAACACGATGGCTCAGCCTGCATTCCAAGAGCTGCCTGCATGCCTGTCTCAGAAGACCTCCACCCTGAGCAACTGGCCCTACAGGTGGAGCCAGGGGTCGGCCATGCGGCCTGATGGCAGCAACAGGGACTCCATAGAAACAGAATTGTTTCTAAAGGAAAGTCGTGAATACTCGGGATCTCAAGACACTCTGCTGGAAATCAAAGTCCCCAGTCGGGCACTTTTTAATCTCCGGTCTTTTTCTGACTGCAAAACATCATAAACTGTCAACAGTTCAAGAAGCACCAGATAACAACTCAGGTGATTCTCAGGTGGTGGTGGGGAGAGCTCACCCAAACGGCAGAGGAACTTTGGGTTGGGTCAAGGTCAGAGACTCTGGGGGACCCACCCTAGGGTGGGCCAATGTGTGTGTGTCTGCGGGGGGACTTGGGGCTCACTAGACGGGACCCGCTCAGCCCGGGTGTGGGAGCCAAGGATCCAAGGGCAAGAGGCCCCAGCAGACATGCCCAGCATCTGCTCCCCAGGACGCTCTGATGCACCAGAGGTTGGGGCTGACAGCTGTCTGCAGGTTTACTAGTGCCCCGGGACACATTCCCCCTCCCGCCAGCTGGCCAGGAGGGCGGAGCACATCAGAACCCTAAACTACAGGGAAACCGAGGCTCTGCACACTGGCCTGGCAACGTCTCAAGTCGGGGTCAGCAGCTCAGAGCCCAGAGACAGGCTCTCCTGTCCTCGCTCCGGCACTCAGCCTCGAGCGCCTCAGGGCGGCCCCACATTTAGCATGTGGCTGCCGCCACTGAGGCGGCTTTGCATCCTCCGCGGCCAGCGTGCAGGCAGGCCTGGGAGTGGAACCGTGTGGGGCTGTGGCCCAGCTTCACCCAGGGAGCAGAGCATTCTTACTTGGGGTCCTTGGAGGCAACAAAGGAAAATGGTCTGTGGTTTGTTGATTCAGAAGGACCAGGAATGGCCTGAGCAGACAGGACAGAGCCAGGGGCGTGGGGACACAGATTCCTGGGGGCCACCACATCAGAAAGAGACCTGCAGCAGCATCCCCCCAGGCAGAAAGTTCTATGAGGCTGTGCAGGGCTCAAAGGAAAACAGAAATTAAACTATTTAAAAAGCCAGGAAGCCCACAAGAGCACACCAAATGCTGAAGTCATCCGGAGCAGTGAAAACAGGCCCCTTCCCCGGGGCAGGCACGACTCCTGACCAAGTTCTCAAAAACAAAAACACGGGAGGCGGGGGTGAGCTCCCCGGCCAGTCTGGCTTTATTGTTCAGCTTCTAGAAACCTTCGGCTGTATTTTTTTTGTTTTAAAATCATCCACTTTAGGGAGAAGGAAGTGTACACCCAGCCGGCCAGCTCCATCCTGCCCAGCGATGCTCGGGCACGGGGCTGACGTCTATTTTTGTGCTCTCAGTTCCCTATCTCTCTGCCTTTTTTTTTTTTTTTAAATCTCCCTCAGAGAGTTCCTACATGTATCAGTTATTCAGATTTCAAGTCGTTCTGGAATCCAGGGATGAAAGCCATCGCTTTTATAAATCATTTCCCCCAGTTCCTCTGTGTCCACTCCGTCCATCCTCTGAACGCAGGCTGATGACGGAGAATTCGCTCATACTTTGGCTCAACAGAGAACACGAGGAGCGCTCCTCCCAGCTGCCTGGGGACACCCACCAGGGACCCTACCATCTCTGGCCGAGTGAACGCGTTGTGATAATCTAAGCCATCTGGGGAGGTATTACACATCTCCAAGCAATATGCTGGTGGCTCATTCCTCACGTGTTCATCTGGTTCTATTTCTGGCTTGGAGGAGAGGTTCTGTCTTCCGTTGGCTCCTCCCGGGCAACTTCAGACCCAAGCTACCTGCCACCATCAGCCCACCCAGGCCCCCCCCAGATCCCCTCCGTCCCCTCCGCCCCACTGCAGGCAGAAGGCCTATGAGATGGTTCGGTCTCTGATATGAGGCCTGGGAAGACTTTTGGGGGGGAACTCTGTGATCTTTACGGCAAGGTCACTATGTTCACAGGGTGCAGCTCTGGTTTACTCTCCAGGGCTGTGGCCTCGCTCTCAGCTATCTCTCACCCCAGACAGGCACGGTACACACGTGCCCACGCGTGTGCACTCACTCATAGATCTATTCACCGCAGTGCACCATTTCAGACCCCGACTTGCACCCGCCCCAGTCAGCGTTCTGGACCAGGCTGGGGGATTTCTGAGCTGCAGGAATCTCCTGCTTCCCCTCCAGACCTCAGCCTGAGACAGAGAGGAAGGCGAACTGGTGACTTTCCCACTGGTGATGGCCACACAAGGCCCACGGGTCACCTGCCAGCTCCCAGCCAGACCTTCTGTGTGGTGCCGAGCCCTGGGACAAAGGCCTACGCTCAAAGCCCTGGGGCTGACTCCCCAAGCCGACCTCTCCCCACTGCCTTCTAGGCGTCCCTGCTCCCCATCCCAGCCATGGGATGGCTGCTGCTATGGGGGCCGGGCAGACAGGAAAGTCATCCAGGCAACCAGCCCCAGGAGCCCCGAGCCACGGGTCGGCACGTGCTGCGGGCCTCCCATGTGTCTGGATGGAACTGCTGTTACCTTTCTGCGGAGGACGTGGGGAGAGGCAGAGCCCCAGCGTGGGCCACGACCCCAGGAAGGATGTCCCGTGGTCCCTAGCCCCACGTGTGGGCGGGACACAGCGGCCGCCCAGCCCCGGGGCTTCCTGCCGCCATGGGCAGCAGCCTCGCCAGGGTCGGGGGAAGCGGTGAGTCGGCGTCACGCGCACAGCACATGCTTCGTTCCACTTTTCGGTAAGCAGTGTCCCATGGTGTCTGCAAGCACCCCGGCTGACTGGGTGCTTTCGCACTGTGGGCTGTGGCGTCAACCATGTGGGATGCAGGGGCAGCAGCATAAACAGGCAACACAGGGCGGACCCCACGGTGAGGGCACTTGGTTATTGTCCAGGCATATCTGCTTGCGCGGTACTGCTTTAGAATGCAAAGGCTGCTTCAACCCAGACGGCAGGTTGAAGGCCACGGCCACTGGTCTGGACAGATAGCTGACCAGGGCCTGTGCCTTTCTGAGTGTATTCTCTTGCCCCCAGGACTGGGGCATGTCCTGAAGACCATCAACTCCTCAGGATGGGGCCGGCTGGTGATTGCACGGCCCACCAGGCTCCTCTGTCCATGGGAGTCTCCAGGCAAGAATACTGGAGTGGGTTGCCATTTCCTTCTCCAGAGATGTCCTCTTAGGAGACAGCAAAGTCGGGGGAGTGGTGTCCTGGGCTGGGCTTGCAGGAAACACTTGTTCTCTAAAGCTGACCAAGCCCTCAGGCACCAAGACAAGGGGGGACTTGGGGACCCCTCATTGCGGCCCCTCTGCCAGCTGGGGAGGAGACCCAGGCATGACTTGCCTGCCCCCAGGAAGCAGCACACAGATGCCAGACAGATGTCAGACCAAGGGGCCCCCAAGAGCAGGCAGAATTGTTCCCACTCCTGCCAGAGGAGCCCCAGAAATGCTAAGGGGACTGTTTGGGCCCCGAGTGAGCAGCAGGCACCCAAAGCCTGTGGAGGTGGGGGCGGATGTCTGTGACGAAGATGCAGGCTATAGCCCCAGGCACGGTGTGATGGAGGTAAGGAGCGGGGAGCTCCCCCAAGCAGTTTAAACTAATGTCCAGTCCACATCAAACCTGTGGAATGATCAGGGAACTAACTGGAGAGCAGGGCAGACAACCCACTACAGTATTCTTGCCTGGAGAAGCCCATAGACAGAGGAGCCTGGCGGGCTACAGTCCATGGGGTCGCAAAGAGTCGGACATGTTTGAAGCGCCTTAGCACGTTGACTGGCTGCTGAGTGGGGTTGGGACAAGCCTCTCCCCTACTAATCAGGCCAGCCACCCGCTCCCAGGCCCCAGAACACAGAGAACACAGCCAGCAGGGATGAGCCTGGCCAGCTGGCATGTCCTGAAACAACGCTGCCCTCTTCTGGCCAGTGCTGGGAGGCCCGGCTTGCCACCCACCAGCCACATCCTGCCTGCAGCTGGGCAACCCAGGCCCGAGCATGCTTTGACTGGGGCATCTAGAAGGTTCTGAGGGTGGCCACTGGGCTCCCTACCCCAGGAACCACCTCCCTGCTACCTAATCAAATGGTGGGAGAGGGAGGCGGTGGCAGGTGAGGAGGGGTTGTCCCAGCTGTTTTCCAAATCAGAGCCCAGTGGAGGCAGACCCTGGACCCTCCCCACCTCTGCCCTCTGGGGTGTGCCTGCTGCGCCCAGGGGGAGGCGGGGAGTCTAGCACAAAAGAGGGCCCAAGTCTGGGTACACGGCTTCCTTGGGGACAATGGCGCTCCCTGGCCCATGGGCAGGGCCCTAGCCCTGGGTGCCTCTACCCACCATGGAGACTCGGAGGGAAAGCCCAGGCGGGCTCTGGGAGGACGGGCCAGCGCTTGAGGGCTCAGATGACGACGGAGGACGATGAGGACGGTGAGGACAATGACCTCACCGCCACAGGCTCAGGGCTGATCTGGTGGGGAGGGGTCTTCCGGGGCTCCCACCCAGGAAGACTTCTGATGGCTTCAGACATGGTCCGCTGTGTGAGCTTGGGAAGGGTATTCATCAGAAGTGCACCACACTTCTGGGACCGTGTTTTAGGAGGTCTGCTTGCTTTTGTCTTAAAACAAAAACAGAAAGCAACTAATGGCTTAAGAGGAGAGTGACTTAGTGATGGGGTGCATGGAGAGCCCTGAGGGCCACAGCAGGAAAAGGGCTCTCAGAGGCGACAGCAAAGCCCTGGGTGGCCCCACAAGAGGCTGTGCGCCTCCAAACCAGCCGAGAGGGAGGTCCGCGGGGACCCGAGGCCACATCGAAGTCCAGTCCTCGTCCCCCCACACCCTCGGATCCAGGCAGAGCAAGTCTGGCAGCATCCGGCTGAGATGAACGGGGGTGGGCGGGGCTGGTGTGGTGTGAGGAGTGGTCCTCAACCCCCTTCTCAGCTCTTGGGTGATGCGTCTGACACGGAGTAAGAGCCAGTGCATCGGATAAACAGGCCCCGATTGCCGGGCCCAGCTCCCAGGCAGCACCTGGTATTGGAAGGACAGAGGAGTGCAATGCGGCACTTGGCCAGCTACACGCCCCACACGGCGCAAGCCTCGAGGACAGTTTAGGGCTGAAAACAGACAGCAGGCAACCACATGACCTGAGAGTTGTGTGAACAAACTGGCTCTGTCTTGCAATGCGCTGGGGCCTCTTGCCTCCAGGATCTGTCTGGAAGCGCTGCTGGGAGGTGGGTCTCGGGGGCACAGGTGCGCTGCTGGCTCTGGGAATTCTGGTGTGTAGCAGCAATCCCACCAGGGGCCCCCTGTGCAGGCTCCATGCTCAACCTTATAATCAGTGAGTCCTCCCAGAGCTGGGTGCTCTCACCCACAAAGATGGATGGAGAAACAAGCTCAGAGGGGTGATCACTCAGCTGGGCGGGGGGGGTGGGGCAAGGATTTGAGCCAGGGACCTTCTATGCTCATCACCACACTTCTGGGGCTGGAGGGAGAGGGGATGGCCTTCGGCATCCACTTCCCACCTTCTCCAGCAGAGTCTGACTGCCCTGGACCAGCTCCTGGCCCCCAAACAGCCCCATTCCTAAATGTTAAAGATCTCTGGGGCATTTTCACCTTACATCAAGGAACTGAGACCCAGAGCGAACCACAGGATGGGCACCTGGAGAACAGTCGCACTGAGAGAGACACTCAGGTTCAGAAAAATTCTACACCAGGCTCATATTTTGTTTTCATACCTTATGATGAAGTGCTGTGACTTTTATGTTGGGATAACAGAGTGATTTATTATTTACCGAACACAGTAGGCGCTCGGCAGATCAATTTCAATAAAACAATGGATTATAAATGCTGCCAGCAATCTGGCAGTAGCAGTAATCAACAAAACATGTTGTTCTAAATGCTGCATAATAAATTGACTATAATAAACTCATAATTATTCTACTGGCTACATTTCAAAGTTAGCACTAGAAAAATAAAATTGCCCATTTGGGCTTGGCATCAACATCTGTGGGATTCTCTGGATCACTCCTGACTCTCAAGCAGCAGGAGACTCGGGTGCCACACGCTGCCCAGGAGGGTTGGGGACACAGCATCTGGATGCGTGGAGGTCTGATGCATGGCGTCCCTAGTCAGCCAGGCCCCAGGGTGCCAGGCGCCCCCAGAACACAGCTGCAACACGCCTCTCATGGGTGAGGACTCTCTTGGGACACAGAGAGAGGAGAAGCAACCACTTCCTCCGGGCTGTGTGAACTCACAGAGAAGACAGACTCGGAGCCACATGGCCCTGGCGCAGGACCCTCCGCAGGGACAGCTGTGGCTGCTTGTGTGACCCGAGCTCTGCCCGCCTGGGGACTGGGTTCCCACGTCCTGGCTCAGCCAGAGCAGGCTGCAGAGTCAAAAGCGTTAGGACATGTTCTAGGAGGCATGAGTCCCTGAAGACACCAGTTGGTCTCCCTTTGGGGCCACCAGTGACCCAGCTGTGGCCCAGAGGGCAGGACCCCCCTGTTTCCTTAGTCTCCAGCTGAGTCAGTTTGGAGGCAGCTGACCCCTCCCCCAAATCCCTCTGGCTCTGCACCCGGACGCTCCGTGGGTCTCAGTGGCTCCACTACATGTTGGGGGGGGGGGGTCTGGTGGGAGGGGGAGACACCCACTTCATGGGATCAGAGTGAGCGAATCTATATCATGAGCGGCACCTTGTGTCAGGCAGGGCCAGAACCCCATCCAGGTTGCTGCACACCCTTGACCCGCACGCCAGGAAGGGCTTCAGACTCTCCGGGGGTGGAGTGAGCAGTGAGCGGGGTTGCAGTGACCTCTGTGACCACGCCGATGTCCCCCTCTGTGTGCCCCTGTCCCTGTCCTGTGGGCCCAGGCCCCTGGGACCGTGTGTCCACCAGCACTTGTGGTCCTGACACGTCCCCGCCAGTACCCCGCGCAGGGCCAAGTGCTGCATGCCATCTCCACCGACAGACAGTAAACTCAGGCTCAGAGAGAACCTGGAGGCTTTGCTTCCTCCCAGAAGCCTGAGCTGGGCTCCTGCCAAGAGGGTCCCGAGCCAGAACATCCCATCCAGCTACTGACCCGGGGCGAGTGGATACCACAGCCAGTGGTGCTGGGGCGCCCTGGGGCAGGGGGCACCCTGGGCTTGGGTGGGTTTCTGAAAACACTGGGCAGTGACAGCTTGGAATGGGGTGTCTCTCGGCTCAGGTACCCTGATGGCTGTGGGCGAGGGCCCCCTATGCGCAGGTTCCCCAACTCCCAGCCTGAGGCCGGGTCCTGGCCAGTGTGCAGGCATGACCAAAATACGAGCATGGGGTCAAAGCCTCACAGGATGGCACATATGAACCGAGGCGGATGAGGTGCCGGATGAACTGGTGCTGGTGGGAAGTGGGGCAGAGGGGCTCAGTTGCCTTAGCAACAAGAGGGAAAGGACCAAAGGACAAGGTAGGGCAATGTGCTACCTGATGCGAAGAACTGACTCATTGGAAAAGACCCTGATGCTGGGAAAGACTGAAGGCGGGAGGAGAAGGGGACGGGAGAGGATGAGATGGTTGGATGGCATCACCTACTCAATGGACTTGAGTTTGAGTAAAGCCTGGGAGTTGGTGATGGACAGGGAGGCCTGGCGTGCTGCGATTCATGGGGTCGCAAAGAGTCAGACATGACTGAGCGACTGAACTGAACTGAGGCCAATGTGCACCAGCTCTCCGGCCCACACCTGCGAGTTGGTGGCCATAGCGAGATGTCTCAAGGGCAAGACAGGAGGCCCCGTGGAACTTGTGGCCTCTGGGCGGCTCTCGGCCTCTGGCCTGGACTGGCCCTGCCCAACGTCTGGGTGGTGGAGAGTACAGACGGGGAACACAAGTGCCCATGAGCTGAGGACAGGGATGCTCCAGGTCAGTACGGTGTCCATGGCCCCTGCCAAGGCTAGAGGGGCCGCTCAGAGTGTGGAGTGGTGTACGCCCAGTGGGAGCCCTACACACTAGGGAGTTGGAGGCTGTGGGACCTGCCCACATATGCTCAGTCAGGAATCCATGAGGAGCGGTGGCACGTGGGCAAGCAGTCCTGAGGGCCAAGCACCCCCTCTGACCTCCTGAACGACTGGCCGCTCATGCCGAGGAGTCGTGAGGCAAGAGCCGGCAGGTTCAGAGGGCAGGGGACTCCCTAGGGGTCTCCCTTGCTCCAAACTGGAGACGCGAGCACGGTGGGTGCTGGGTCACAGGGCAGGTCCTCCTCTGAGGTGGGGCCTTACCCTCACAGCACTTGGCCCCCACTCCCCTCTGAGGGCCTCCTTGGTCCTGGAGAGGAGACAACATGGAGGACAAAGCCTTGGCGGAGAAGTCTAGACCCAGAGCAGGCCCAGGGACCATGCTGTGGCCAGCCTTCCTGGGCTGGGGCCGAGGGGCCCCCATCAGCCACGCCTGGGGTTGGGTCCCACCTGGGCCCCGCCATTCGCACGCCAGCCAGGGCAGCTGGGGGCTGGCCCCACTCACCACATGTCTCCGTCTTGGATGGTCTTGTCGTTGGGGGCCCCGGCGTGTCCGTAGTGCAGCACAGCTGAGTTCTCACCACTGTGGAGCATCAGGGGGTGGTCAAGAGCCCATTCTCACCCAGCGGGCCCCGGGGGCCGGCGCCCCAACCCCCTGCCCCGTGGGCAGTGCCATAGCCTGCAGCATAGGCCCAGGGCCAAGTGGGCCCGGCCCTAGCCTGAGGCGGGGTGACGGGCACGGTGGCCCTGGCGTCCTGCAGCCACAGAGCTGGCGGCTGGCCTCTGGGCTGCTCGGGGAGGTGCCCTTGGGGCTGAGGATGTGGGCCTGATGTGGGAGCAAGGGCCTGCAGGCCAGGGGAAGGGACCCCACGGAAGCCGGGTGTCCCGGTGGCTAAACGGGGAGGGGAGGCCCAGTGGGAAGGGCCGGGACTGTGACGGGGCTACATGGAGATTGGCCGGGCTGGGCCAGGGCCGCAGCCAGGGAGCCAGCGGCTGCCCGCTCCTCAGCTTGAGAGCGCTTCCCTAATGAGCGATACCTTTAAGAAAAAAGGACTTTTTAGTCTGTCCAAAGGAAAAAAAAAAAAAAACCCACCTGGGTATAATATTTATGGCCCCGTTCAGGAGTCTCAGGAATCATAAAAATAGAAATAATGATTTTTCTCTCTATCCACCAGAGAAGAACATTGCCAAGGACTGAGATGTTCACATGTATTATTCATGTGCCAAGGACGTGCGTGTCAGCAGAGGTGCCGGCTCCGTCCCGGCGGGGCAGAGGCCTGAGCCTCTGACCCGGGGGGTGAGCATGGGGAGATGAGATGGGGTGAGCCTGGGGGACTGGGAGCCCCCCCCAGCCGGGGCGTGTCCCTCAAAGACACACAGGCCTGCACGCTCACGGCGATGAGCTGCCCCACATGCACGGTCACTTCTACCCCACACACACACATGCGCACACACACACGCACAGAACCCCCTGCCCCCAGCCACATGTCACACACACACAGAACTACAGTAACACCCCCCATGGCAGAGCCCCAGACGCACCCGTGGCTGTGCTATTCCCCACACAGCCACACACACGCACACACACATAGCCACACACAATCACATACACACACGCACACACAGCCACACACACACACACACACACAGCCACACATAATCACACACATGCACGCACACATAGCCACACACATGCACGCACACATAGCCACATACAACCACATACACGCACGCACACACAGCCACACACACGCACGCACAGCCACACATAACCACACACATGGATGCACACACAGCCACACACACACACGCACACATAGCCACACACAGCCACACACACGCACGCACACACACACACACACAGCCACACACGCACACGCACACATAGCCACACATAAACACACACACATGCACACATAGCCACACACAACCACATACACGCATGCACACACAGTCACACACACGCACGCACACACAGCCACACATAACCACACACATGCACGCACACACAGCCACACATAACCACACGCACGCACACACACAGCCACACACGCACACATAGCCACACATAACCACACACACACACGCACACATAGCCACACACACACAACCACAGCCTCCTGCCCCGATATAGCTCCTTCCACACACCCTGCACACAGAAGCTGTCACAGTCTGGGGTCATGGCCTGGTCCCCACACACTGGGAGCTGCCTGTGTGGAGGAGGCAAGGAAGGCTGGCCCCAGGAGGAGCCACCAGCGGGACATGGGATGGGAGGGCAAGGCAGTGGTGGGATGGCTCCCCTCTGCACCCTGAACTGCCCAGGGAGGGCAGGAAGCAACCTCCACTCTCAGAGCCTTAGGAGTGGGGAGTGACTTCCAGGCTTATGAGGTGCCGGGGGCAGGAGAGCAAACAGTGCGTCTAAGCTGGGGGATGGTGGGGTCCCCTCACTCCCCCCCAACCCCCTCTTTCCATCATCCCCCGTGGCCCAGGTGGCTGCTTACCTGCCGCAGATGCAGGTGTAGGAGCTATGGCGCATGCCGCCCCGGGAGTAGCAGTAGTGTTCGAAGAGGCTGCGGGCGAAGGAAGATGGGTCAGAGTGGGGTCACCGGAGCACACACGCCCCCGTGCAAATCCTCAGCCCAGGCCTCCCTCGGCCGCGCCCACAGGAAGGCCTGAGCTCCGCAGCGTGGGTCACTGGCTGGCAGCCTGGAGGACACGGGCCACTGAAGCACAGAGGTCAGCGCAGAGAGGGAGCATGGCTGGGGGAGCGGCCACTTTCAGTGCCAGCCTTTCGGGCCCATCAGGAGGACAGGTCTGGTCCGGTGGGGAGACGGCCTGGGGTGGGGCCCCCTGTTTCTGCAGGCTGGAGGGGGCATGTCCCTGCGACTCCCTCCTCCAGTGGTCACATCCTTCTCCCACCAGGCGGGGCTAGGTGCACAGCCAGGGAGGGATGAGAGCTCTCTGGGCCCCAGTGTGGGACTCACCCGGGGCCCCGAGCCTGACCCTGGGGAGTGGTGCGGAGGAAGGAGAACAGGGGCTGCTGGGCTCTGGCCTGGGGGCTGGGGATGGGGGGCAGGTCGGTGTGTAGACGAGCAGGGCTGGGTGGGCTCTGGGTGGGGGAAGAGAGGCAGAGTCTGGGGGTAGGCACCGACCAGTTGGTCCCCTAGACAAGCTCCCTCCCTGAGCTGCGGAGTCCAAGAGCAAGTTCTGGAGGGAAGATGAGAGCCCAGAGCAGGTCACTGGCAACTGGGAGCCCACCTCCAGGCTGCGCCCAGACAGTCAGAGCCAGTGGAGGCCTCTGGGAGCTCGGCTGTCAGCAGAGCCCAGCAAGTGCGGGAGTGGAGGGTGAGAGGTCAGAGGATGAGCCAGCCTCAACCCTGTCCCTCTGGGGCAGATCCTGGGGGTGACTGGTGGACCAGACCTGCCACATCCACAAACGTGAGCAGCATCTGGAACCCTCGGGAGACCACGCTGCCCAGGGCTCTGCAGAGGCCAGGTCCCTGCCCCTGCCGCTCACCACACACCCCAGGACCTGAGCGGGTAAGAAACTGTCTGGGCATGGGACTCAGGGTGCCAAGGGCCCCGCCTCTGCAGAACCCAGTGGGGAAGGGGGGGCTGCTCTCACCCCCTCCCTGAGGCCTCGCCAAAGCTTGGCCCCAGTTGAGAAGCAGGTCCAAGTGGACCCCGCCCCACCCACTGACCACCAGTCGGGGGGAGACCGACCACGGGGTGTGCTCAGAGCCCCGAGGCCGCCTGTGGGCATGCTAAGTGGCAGTTCTGCCCTGCATGTTCTGGGCCTGTTTAAGAGAACGTCTGAACGGAGGAGTCTAATCTTCAGGCACTGTAAACACAAATTATGTGTAATTGTTATGATTGGGTATAAAGTAGTTGTTATGCAGGAAGGGTTCTGCTCTATTCAGTCAGCTTTCAGACTTGCTTTACAAATCTCACAGGATAATTGGGTATCTGCAAGTGAAATATTTCCTCAACACAAAAGAATCCAGGAACTGCCAGGGAGGTGAGGAAAGCCGTGTGAGGTACGAGCCGCCCCCACAGGCATAGTGGGAGCGCTCAGGCAGCTGCCGCCGACCTCAGCCTCGGTTACTGAGGCCACAGGACAACTGGGCCAAGCCCGGGCCCCACGCCGGCTCCACACGGCCTGCCCAGATGCTGGGGCCTCAGACACCGGGACTCCGTGCAGCTGCACCCCAGAGACTGGGGGATGCTGACCGGCCATGGAGCCGCAGGGCTCCCCTGAGCCTTGGGGGACGAGGCCCTGCCCAGACAGAAGCAGGTCAGGGGGCAGCAGCTGCTCTCCGGGTGACGGGGGCAGACGGGCACAGGCAGAAGGGCGGCAGATGAACAAGCCAGAACCGCTAGAGCAGCCTGGGGGAACGGGGTAGCACTGGCTCCCCAACCTGCTCCCAGTCTCAGCAGTGGGCACTGTCCCGCCCTGTAATCTACTCAATAGAAACAGTCTTCATCGCACACATCGCTCCCACTTAAGTAAAGAAAAGCCTTTTAGAGTAAACGCATGGCTCACGGAAGTGCCAGACTAAGGAAGGGTGACCCAGTTTTCATCTGCTAACTGTAGCCAGGGTTGCCTCTGCCAGTCACACGATCCCACACCCGCAAGAAGAGCCGCAAACACCAATGCTGGAAATCCAGTCTCCCGCAAAAGGGCTCCAGTCCTTCACACTGAACTTCAGCACCTGATCCTGTTTCAGGTGAACCTGTCTGATATGACACAAGAACCACCCGATGCAACGGGGGCGTAACAGATACAATGGGCCCTATTTTGGCTCACACTCCTCAGGGAACCCCTCTCCCCAGGACCTCGGCCCTGGGTTGTGGACACATTCTGGGGCAAGTGCTGTGGCCCAGGCCCCAAGTCTTAACATTTTTCTGATTTTCAAGGGGTGGGCGTGCGAGGATGCTCCAAACTGGGGCTACAGGCTTGACCTGAGGCTCCTGAATGGCCCGGTCAGAGCTCAGCAGGAACGGGTCTGGAGGACAGATCGCAGCAGCAGCAGAGCCACCTCAGTCCCAACGTATGTCTCCCAGACCAGGCGGCAATGGGAGGACGCTCCGTAAAGACCCACTCGATTTTTACGAAAAGACGGCAAACTGTGAGCCAAAGAGGGGCCAGCTGCTGCGTAACCGGAGGGGCCGACTACTGATGATACACGTTCACAGCTGAATTTGGCTGGGAGCTACCACTGAGCCCCTCCAGAGCCATGATGAGATGAAGGCAGAGTCTGCGGCCAGAAACCCTCTGACCCCCAACCTGCAGAGCTGAAGATTAAAGGTGATAAGCAGAGCCATGTCCATAGGAGAAGCAGGGAGGTGAGGCCAGAAGAGGAAGCTGCCAGTCTTGCGAGCCTGGAGGGCTTGGCATTCATTGCCACATGGGGACAGCGAGGAGACCTCAGGCAAACCAGAGTTGGGGGCCAGAACTGAGCTCTCCCCTGACAGAACACCAGGGGCAGAGCAAGGATGCACCCTCTGCGAAAGGACAGACTTGGAGAAAATTCACCAGCATCACAGGATGCAGTGCAGAAGTATGCCTGGGCCCTGGGAAAAAACAGTGAAGGTTTCCTCAGAATTCGCAGCATAGGTCTGTCCTCCATGGGGTTTAGGTTCAAGGGTGAAGGACTTATATGGTTTTGGAAACCCTGAAGCCAGGAAATCAACAAAAAACTGAGTCCCTGACTGGTGATACCTGGAGCCAAACCGACAAAGCCAAACTGGTTGGCCGCACCTCTACCCAGGCAGGAGAGACACATGTACAGACATACGTGTACATACATGTAAATACATGTACCCACACATATACTCACTCATAGGTACATACACACAACACACGCACTGGAGAGGAACTCGGGATCTGAAAACAGTCCACAGGAGCCGTCAGACACTGCAAGCAGCAGGCTGAGACACAGCCCCCCAGAACTTCCAATAACAGAGCAAACAGCAGGTTAAGACCTGCCCTGGCACCAATGCAGCACCACCAGGGACAGAGGACAAACCCTGGCCAGACTGGGGCCGCTGCTGCCTTCCCACCATGATCCGGCACAGGTCCAGCCAGCAAGAAACACCCAGTAGCCTCCTGTAGCCTTTGGTGTTTACGACCATCCTTCGGGGGGAGGAGAGGGTTTCCAACTTTGCCAATGAGGAAAACTGCGGGTCAGCATGGTGATGTGCTATGGTCAGAGAACCTTTTGAAGGAGTCCTGTGAGCCTGGAGTCCATGCAGGATTTCTGACCCCGATGCCTCTAAACCTCAGGTCTGTCAGTGATGGGGGCGCTGGAACAGCAGCTGCCTGGGTGGGACAAGGCCCTCTGCTCCCCAAACACCAGTGGTGGGTGATGCTGTGCTGGGCCTTCCAGGGCTCTGGACTCTGGACTCTGTGCAGGGAGCCCAGACGGAGCGGGAATGGGTCTGCTAGGACACATGGCCCACCAACCCCAGGGACGGCCAGTGGAAAGCTGGAGCTGGTGCTCTGGAAGAGACCCCTGGGGTGTGGAGACCTTGGAAAAGGAGAACCCGCCGGCTAGAGGCAAGGGTGATTGCAAGGATGGCTGTGGTGGGGGCAGCATCAGGGAGAGGCCGCTGTTTCTCCCCCGGAGAGGGTGGCCTTATCAAGGTATGAGATAATTAGCATTTTAATCGGGTAATTGAGAATTCTGAATTGCCTATCTTGTATGAGGTGTGACTGAGGACATAACATGACATTCAATTAACAAATATTCCCTTTTATTCTTGACATGCTCAATTAGTTGGAGCTTCTGAGTTCCTCAACATCAATTCCTGGATAAAGTGCTATATCCTCTCGGGTGTCAAAGCCCTTGCTGCCTCAGACTGCTAATCATCAACATATATAGAGTTGGCATATACACATATGCAATTTTAGACATTTTCTACACAAAAGAAAAAAAAGAATGACAATCACCCATAATCAGTTCAGTTCAGTTCAGTACAGTCGCTCAGTCGTGTCCAACTCTTTGTGACCCCATGAACTGCAGCACACCAGGCTTCCCTGTCCATCACCAACTCCTGGAGTCCACCCAAACCCATGTCCATCGAGTTGGTGATGTCATCCAACCATCTCATCCTCTGTTGTCCCCTTCTCAGCCTGCCCTCAATCTTTCCCAGCATCAGGTTTTTTTCAAATGAGTCAGCTCTTCACATCAGGTAGCCAAAGTATTGGAGTTTCAGCTTCAACATCAGTCCTTTCAATGAACACCCAGGACAGATCTTTAGGATGGACTGGTTGGATCTCCTTGTAGTCCAAGGGACTCTCAAGAGTCTTCTCCAACACCACAGTTCAAAAGCATCAATTCTTCGGTGTATCAGGTGGCCAAAATATTGGAGTTTCAGCTTCAACATCAGTCCTTTCAATGAACACCCAGGACAGATCTTTAGGATGGACTGGTTGGATCTCCTTGTAGTCCAAGGGACTCTCAAGAGTCTTCTCCAACACCACAGTTCAAAAGCATCAATTCTTCGGTGCTCAACTTTCTTTATAGTCCACCCATAATCTTCTCCCCACAAAATAATCTCTATCACA